CTCTTTTAGTGGGTGGTGGCTACCAGAAGGCCAGTCATACCTTAGCAGGCCTTTCTCATTTGCTCAGTGGAAATCCTGTGGATCCATTCCCTGTGGATGTGATGTGCGTGTTCAGGCCAACGCAACAGGTTTCTTCAACAAAGCCTAGAGGCACAACATGGAGAGTTCCAAAGGTACTCTACAGCAGTGTTGACGGCACGTTCTTGAGGTGCTAAATACCTGCCAGATACTCCCTGAGACTGGCATATGACTCCCATCAGTTGGGGTGGTTGAACAGGGGTCAATTGGGCGGCAAATATTCCATACGACATACATGGTGGGGATGTTATACTACCTGTAACAGTTGGTAAAGAAGAACATGTTTGAGAAAGGCCTGCAACTGAACCATCATCATCCACTGGGCCCAGGGATTAGGATATACCGTATACCTAATATCCATGGAGTTTGCGCTTGTGTTCATCGGAGCAACCCAATCCACCCACAAATCCATAAAAACACTGGGCAGTACGGTGCCTTTCCTACCATTTATTCGGGATCAGATGTCAAATCCGGTGGAACAATCGGCCTTTGATCCAGAGTGTTCGCTCGGTCAACAATCTCTCGCTGTATCGAGTATGGATGGTGCAACAGGTGGAAAAGATGTTTAAAAAAACAAAGGCAAACGGAGGGGTGGATGCTTTCTTGAATGCCGTCTTCGACTCTCGCACGCGCGCATGGTGGACGCGCGGCAGGGCAAACCCATGTTCAAGGCAGAGAATGGTGCAGTGATCTATTTCAATAAGCTTCTCAGTTGCATGTAGTGGGGTCTTTGAGGGGCGGGAAACATATAAACATCAGTGCCCCGTCGTCATCGAACCCGGCGACAAGCGGTGGACATATCCCACACACTCCATGGGACTGACATACAGTATGGCAGTGGGTCATGGCACCGGCGGAACATTTTTTATAGCTTCTTTGTTACTACTAGCGTGGCACCTGTTACTAGTAACAAGAAGCTAGTCCTACCCTTTTCCCGGGTGAACAAAATCGATCACCAGACGTCAACCTACCACGCTGAACGGAGCATCGGGTGACTGGACCAGCGGCTGTGGGTCATGGCACCCGCACCCCAAAGTCTTGGTACGTTGACCATGTCCACTAGTCTGTTCATGTTCGGTAGCGAAAAAACCCAGGGGTACCCCGATGTCATGACCCACAGCCGCATACATCGACCCCTTTTCTCAAGTATAGCGCTTGAATGTGGTTTCAACCAGCCGCTCCCAGTCACAAGTGCATCGCGTCGCTAGTAACAACATGCCTTTCTACTAACAAAAAAATACAAAAAAACACCACAGTTTCCTTTCACCGAATTGAGCAGATGTGCCAGCATATATAACACCACAGAGACTCGGCACCTCGCCGCGCACCATGGAAGTGCTGCATTTTTTTGTCTTCGCTGTAATGTTTTCTGTTGAGAGGGACCCATCAACAGAGACTTTACATTCTAGATTTTTTGGGTCTATAACGGAATGTCGTGGAACAAATGCAAGACATGTCTTTGAGATATTAAATGTCAAGTGCCAAGTCCGCAAGTCGAAAGTCAAGTCTTGCAGGAAGGACTTGAGAAGTTCTTGACAAGAGACTGGTGTAGAAGTATTTGACAAGTACCGGGTCAGAAGTATTTGAGACGTAATTAACGGAGAGCTTTGTGTCAAGAGGTTAAGATGCGAGGACTATACATGCAAGAACACAGACAAAAGAGATCAGATACAAATGGCAGAAACTAGCGACAAGATATATGCTAGACAAATGTAGGGGAGGGACATGCATTTCTTTCACAGGTGCTGGATGGGCCTCGATGCTAGAAGAAGTGGCCTTGATGGCACGCCCTTCGCCGGAAAGACCGGATCCGCGTCCAAGCCATTTCATGCACATATACGCAAGACATGGAACTTCTTCCCTTTCCCAGTACCTTTCTGCTTAGCCCAGGTTTTGGAAGATGAACAAGGTCTTCAAAACAACTGGCCACTGGGCAAGGAACAACGGCAGTTTGTGGTGAAGCCTCCCAAGCTGTCTGATGGCTCTGTGAGCCTCCCGGGCTTTACCTTTGAATCTCTGAGCCTCCCGGCCTCCCCGACTGGAGATCCTCGTTGAACAGAATCCTCCAGGCTACACTCTCCATACCTTCTGGACAAGCTGGTGGATCCCTTTGGAAACTAGACCCGGATCTTCCAACTGCACAAGAGATTCTGCCTTTTGATCCAAAAGGATCCAAAAGGCAGACATATTTTGCATGTTTGGAGGATGAAACTTTTGGCAGAAACCATGCTGGAAGGCGAACATGGCCATTCATGACCATTCCCGAACTGGGAACCTGGTTCTTCAAAGTGACCTTTGTTGATATCCTGGTTTGAGGTTACAAAAGGGCCTCCTCAAAGGTCACTGGTCGGAAGATGTAGGACTTCCAAAATGATTACTTTGAAGAAGCTGGCCGGTACAAACCAACAATGAACTGTTCTTGGGCTCCTTGCCACCCCTTTAGCTGAAGACAGGTTTTGCTGGTGGAAGTTGGTGAAGTCACCAAGTTTGGGCCCAATCGTTGGTCATTCCAAGTTTCAGTTCTTGAGGGTCTTTCGGTTGCAAGCGTTTTGACATGTTTTGAACCATTCTGGGGTAGAACTGCATGAAGTTACTCACCTCCCAGAAGCATGCGGTGTTCGATGCACGAACCCAGAAGCATGGTAGCTTGATCAAGTTCGGAGATATACTCTATCTAGATTCCTGGCCCACCGATTTCATGGAAACATCCCTTCAGAAGTATTGTTTGACTAAGCCCAGACACGACTAATGGGACTGCCATAGGACTGCCGCCCGATTGACCCCTCAAACCACCCCAATGTAGGCATATATGGCATACATGGAGTGTCTGGGAAGGATGTTACACCCAAACCATGGCTCCAATGCTTCACCATGGCCCCTTGACTCGAGTGCTTAACAAGTCGCTCGTGCTTAACGGGTGAAACCGGCGGAAGGCTGGATCTACTGCACCAAAGACTCCAACGGTTCCTTCCCGGCGGAGGGCCGCTGGAGCTCGGAGGGCACCAGCGACCCCAACGGCGCCCGCGGGCCCGGACGGGTGAGGACATCGGGTGGGGTGGGAGCGTTTGGGGAGGAGGGCTCCAATTGGAAGCAGTTCGATAGATGTTCAATGATGTTCATGTCATGCGGTCGGAGGGCTCAACTCTGTGACTTCAACATGCTGTGTATCAAACGGGCATAAGTCGTTCAACCCTGGTAGATGTGGGTCAATACCCTGTAGCGAACGACCAAAAAATATTACAAGTCGGTCCGGTTGGTGTCCGTTCTTTTTTCTGATGCCATAACCATGCCATGACCCACAGCCGAATGGACTCCGACAAAATGCCTGCGATTATAATCGCCCGTGGTTTGCGCGGACGTCCTGTCTTTGGAAGAAGGTCGAAGAGAAACATGGGCAGCCTCGATGTTTACCATTGTCTGCCTACCTCGGGGTGAGTTATAAGATGTTTTAATGGTCAACGCAGGGTAAGTCTTCCATAATATGGATCCCTAGGGATCCGAAAAGACCCTCTGAGGTACGGTGATGTGTTCGACACTGAGACAGGTAGGTCTGGAGGGTCGCATATAGATCGTCATTAGGCAATGATTTCTGCCCAGCTTCATTGGGCAAGATCGCCTAAGCACGGACAAAGGGTGCCTAAACACCCATGATAGGCAGATATGTTTGCCCAAGAAGAGGTTCTGAAGTTCTATATGCGGCTACTGGCGATGGGCTCCAACCTACATGCAATACATGGAGTATCGGTTCGTGTTTGGGTTTGCTTCTTTCCTTCAACTTCTCTTCTTCACCAAGGCGGGACGCCCTCCGAGCCTCCTGCTGATGGACGAGCACCTGGGCTCACTGCCATTCGCTGGTGCCGAGCGTCCCCCCAAAGTGTTGCACTTCGAGACGCGGTGCTCCCTGAGACGCCGAAGCACTTGATATAGTCCTCAGCAGTGCGGAGCGGGCACCAAGTTTGATCAGGCACGTCTTTGCTTTTTGTTCCCCATGGAGTTATTGGCTCATCTTCACGAAACCAAGCTCTGGCTAGGTCAGTCATACAAGCTCTAGGTGTTCTGCCGCCCTGCAGTGCCAATTCATGTTTACACTCCAAGTCCCCAAAAGCAGCATGCACATGGCCTCCAAAAGCAGCATCTTTCGTGTGGTGGGTCCAACTTCTTCGGAGTGCCTGGGGCCGTTTTGTCGCCGTTGGGAAGTGCCCGGGCCATGTGTAGGCCCACTGCGGTGTTCGGGTGGACGCCGAGTCTTTAAGGCCCCAACCCCGCGTGGTGGACGAGGAGAGTGGTGCACTGGTCCTCGAAGATGGACAGAAGGCCCCGGCGCATCGCCGCGGCGGAACCTTCCTTGGTGAGCTATGAAGAGCGGAAGTCCCCCTGGAAGTGCTGAAACATCGTTGTACATGGCGCCAAGTGTTCTAGATCAGATATCAAACACCACACAAATTCCTTTGTTGACTTCATTTCAGCCATTGAAAGAAGAAAGATGAAAAACATCATCCTGGTGTGCAGACCTAGTTGCTACATCGCCGCCTTGGCCAGGAAAAAAAAACAGCCCAAGAATCCTCCAAGTGGGGACACCCCACTATAGGAGTGAAAGTTAACCTTTGTTTTCCAGGGAAACGGCTCAGGAGTCCACCCTATATGTCTCAGATAAACGATGAACAATTATATATTATATAATGTGGTGGACTTTCACAGCCTTTGGGAACTGAACAATCACCCGTTCTTTTTCGGTGGAGCGTCTCAGTTGGATTCTATATGTGACTCTTTCAGGAATCCATCCCATTCTCATGGTCCAGGTACCTCCTTTTCAGGTCGAACATGGGTTTGGTCCAAAGTCGAACATGTTCCTGGACCCTGAGAGTGTGTTTCCTCCATGTGAACGGTCAAACCCACGTCCCCCTCGGCCCAACGGCCGCGGATCAAGCTGTGTGGCTCTGGGGTGCGGAGTTCAGCCATGGCGCCAGGATTGAAGGTGGGGAGTCAACTCATCTGGCTGGTTCCGGTGGGGAGTCAATTTCCGCAGATGGGCAGAGATAGGCAGATGCAGTTGGTTGAAAGATACGAAGGGCGGCATCAACAAACATGAGGTTTTTGCTGTAGAGTTCACAAAGAGGGATCCCAACCCCAAGCATGCGTCGCTTGGAAAAGTCTGGACCATTGGATCAACTACTCATTTTGACGAGTATACCGACTTTTGACGCTGTTCTGCATATAGCTATAGCCGTGAAGGGCTGCGTTGCAACAGTCAAGCGAAGCAAATCGGAATACTATTAGGTGGTTAGGTTTGCTCCAACAACTCGAGATTTCAGCCGAGAGTTTGGGTTTGGTATAGAAAGTAGTAAATTAGGCTTCAGACTTTTTAAGGTCAAAGAAAACACCATGAATTGAAGGTTCCCAATTCAGACCACTTTGTTTGATGTATAGTTACAGTACACACATGTTTAGACCATGTAAAGAACTATTCCAGTCCCATTGATGGTCTGGGGAAGGTTCATCCAGCATGGCTGTTTTGAGTTTCCTTCGGACACAAGAGTCATTTTTCTTGGGCCTTCAGACAATACTAGTTACTAAAGGTGTGAACTGATACCAGGGAATGGGGGCACCCATCTAAGACATCAACAACTGGGCCCATGACAGGCCTGTGATTTTTGTTGGCACCCTCCAGGAAAACCACCCGATCGGAGCACTAAAAGATCGGAGCAAAGAGACGTTTCAGTGGCACTACTTTACATTCAGGTTTCACCTCACCTCTAACCGGACACGTTGGCAGATTGGCCCATCTATGTTGTAAGCTCCTCACCTGGTTCCAGAAAAGCCTTACTAAACCGTCATGTGCTCCCAATCTACCTGTGAGTGGATTGAGAAATTACACTGCGAAGCCCCCGTTCGTGCTCAGGTCGAGCCACCCATGAAGCCAGAGGCCGTGTGCGACGGTGCCATGACTGAAAGATGCGCGGGGGAGGAGGTAGGGTGGTTCTGATTTTCCTTATAGCCTTAGCGTTAGCGTTCCCCTTAATATGTGTTGTTGGTCCCAATTTCTCCAAGCAAATCCAAGTCTGACATGAACTCAAGTCCTACCATCCAGTCATCCACTGCTCTTTCGTGTTTTTCTCCAGTTCGGGCCCTGGTGGTTTGTGAGCCAAATGTGAATCATTTCAGCTGAGAAGTCTGAGAAGTACCAACCGCCATGGATCCGGGGAAGTTGGGTAAGAACAACCAAAAGCAGATACTACCCCTTGGTCCCATTTAAACACTAAGTGGTAGCCAGGTGGTTCCAGTTCAACGAACAGCGAACTGAAGACCTGCCTCACCTGGTTGACCTGCCTCTTGGCTGTCTGGGATCCCTTGTGGCCACACAAAACTGGACCCGGACGTTGGAAAGCGGCACAACCCTTTTTCGACCAAAAGCTGCGGCTTCGGCGGGCAGAAAGGCCGTGCCTCTGCGGATCACCGTTTGGTTCGGTGGATCCCGTCGATCGGAACAGAACCGGCCCGTCCAAACGGGTACCCGTTGACGGTGGTCAAGTGGGGGTGGTTTCAATGTTTAAAGAATGGGAAAAGCCAAAACACCCTTAGAAGTCGTGGCCCAGCATGAATTATTGAACAGCTGGGGCCATCCCGCACAGAAGCAAACTGGTTTTGGCTATAGGGTTTGACACCTCGAAAACCAGATCAAGCATGTTAGAACATGGTCTTTGACTTCCAGGCGAAATAGATTAAATAGATGAAGCGCAGCTTTGGATTTGATGGATCACCATGGATCGCCCAGTTTTTGCAGGCTCGACGAATTAGGACTCGAATTCGCTCGGTTCAAGAAGAAGACAAAGACGTAGGTGATCATTAGGGCCAGAATTCGTTCGCTAGCCCAAACCTGGAATCCTGCTCCTTCCGCCCTTAACTGGTACGTTTTTGTAGTCTGAAATCCATTGTAAAACAGTGGTTCTTCGGGCTAAGAAGCATTAACATCATTAACATATCATAATATCATGGTGCTTGGAATCCTTGGGTAGCTGATTACTAACACCTGGCCCCACAAACACGTGCATGACGTCCATGTCCGTGTCAGCATGAATCTCGACCATCCGTCACCGTGGTCTCCAGCACGAAGATTCTGAGGAGCCAGCGCGCTTCTGCCAGCGACTTGGCGCTTCTGCTGGGCGATGCGCAGGTTTGGTTGGGCCGAAAGGACGCACTCCACTCCCCGCAAGATAAGAGCATATGAAATTGGCATGATTGAAGCCTTCTGTGGATTGGGTCACAGAGGATGTTGTGAATGACAATGGAAAGCTAGTTTGGAGACTGTCCTTCCAAGCAGGGATCTCTCACTTTTAACATCTCATGGTATGATTGCAGGCCAGACCCGGGCTTCATGGCAGAACGAGCAAGTTGTACAAAAGTCCCGTGAACTTTGATGATTCAACTAAAAGCAACACCCACAGCAGGTCAAGGACCTCATTTCAGTGGGTTTGGTCATACAAAAGAAGCAGTATACCCAATGAGGTCGGTCAGACTTACTTGCTCCCACCGGACCGGCAGGGACATATCTAACCAATACGTCATTCCCGCAAGGCGCTCCTTTGCGTGGACATGTTCTCTCCAAATGTACCTTATGTTTCACTGCACTCACCGTAAGCACTGCATGGTGAGGCCCATGTTTGTCCTGGTCTCAGCAAGTTTGCACTCAGTTTTCATAGAGTCCTGGAGGGACAAAACAAATGGAGCTTCCTTGGTTCGATCATTTAACCGGCTTTCTGCTGCCGCACCGTCTGCGCACCCTCCCCTTCCCCCCACCCCCTCACCTTCTCGCAGCCTCCTAGGACGATGAAGAGGATGAGATGCCTTCCTGTTCTCCAACGGCCCAGAAGTTCCTGCAGCGCTATTTGACCGTCGATGGCCAGCCCCGCCGGGCGGCCGCCATGGTGACTGAAGCTGCAGGGAGGGAAGAGTGGAAGATCACTGGCACCACCGAAGTCTTCCAATCACTACCCGAAGCTGGGTGCTGGCAGTGGTAGCAGATATCCTATTCTGGAGACGTGCGAGGGTCGGGGCGATTAAGAGTTCTTCATCCATCTTCAGGGACCGGTTGGGCTGTGTTCACGGAGCGTTTGGGCAGAAAAGGTCTCCGCACGCCTTCGACCTGTGGTAGGGAATGCGGTCTTTGTTCCTCCAGGTGTCATACCCACACACTCCATGTATGCCATGTATGCCGCCCCATTGACCCCTGGCACCACCCCAACTGATCGGCAGTCCTATGGCAGTCCCAGACAGGTCGTGTCTGGGATAAGTCGCCTGGGGGCTCCTGAGCTTGGAAGGTATGACTCACATGACGCTGCCTGGTCACCGAAAAGAAGGGTACCACTGCAGCCCGACAGACATGACACTCCTTGAGATATCTTGAGATAATCATGTAAAGGGAATTAAATGGATTGCAGTTGGATGACCATGATGACCATGTTCCGAATACCACACCGACAGGTCTTTTTTGTACGATTTCCACTTCCATGATTACTCCAAGGAGTGCATACAAAGTCTTTTTGTTGCCATCACCGGCGTCAAGAGGGCTCTTCGTTTCACGGAGAAAAGTCGCCATGCAATTCCGCCACTCCTGCCCATCAATGGAGGTGATCGAAGAGTTGCATGTGCTCAACTTGCTGGCGGAGGTGTCGGCCGACACTCGCCATGATGCCCTTCCAGACTTACGCAGCTCGGTAACCGGACGTCGGACGTCCGGCGTCCCGTTTCGGGGGAGCGAGAGACCGCGTGGCTGGGAACGGCCAAGCGGGTCCGACCGAGCCGCGGCGGTGTACGACCGAGCCCCAAAACGACCTCAATGGAGCGGCAGTCCGGACTGGCAGTCCCAGACAGGTCGTGTTTGGGAATGAGACATTCTGACCCTTGCGCACCCCCAGGTGTCAGTCTCGCTATCAAACCATACCGAAGCCAACGACCCCGGACCCGTGGGTGGAGGATTTGGGCTTCCTCGAGAGCTGGGAGTGTCCATGACTTGTCAGGTCAGGAGCTCATGCCGTTGCACCTGGCTGCGCGCGCTGGAGGGGAGGGTGGTGGAGGGGTGCCTTCTTTTGCGCGTCCATTCTGAAACGTTGCTTTCCGGTGTTATCGTGGTGTTTCTGGGTGAAAACATGTAGTTGTTGAAAGTGAGAGGAGTGAATTCCTTGAAGGAAGAATCCTTAGCGCCTTGGGGAATCCTTATGTTTGGTTGAAATATTTGATGCTAGGATGGATACGCTGGAGAATATGTATGGCCCCTCAAAGCTTTTGCCTCGAATCGTTTCAAATAATGTTTCTTGGATTGGTTGAATTTGTCTTTTGGGTGGAGTATAATAGGGAGGAAACAAGTCAAACATTTTGGGACAAAAGCTAATGGCATTCTTCCATCAAGTTCAGTAGCTGTGGAGCAGTCTTTGAGCAAGATTCAGTTCAGCCAGGATCGAAGCCTCGGAAAGATTACATAAGATTAACATGGAACCTGAAATTGATTTTTAGAAGACTATAGGGCGTAAGCCCCAGAGATGAGCAGTGCTGAGTTGCATGATGACTACCCGTGCGATGCAAGGGTATCCAATGGACTACGCTCCACGCCTTTGCATTGGCCGGCAAGGCAAATCACGACAAACTGAGTTTTGTTCTTCGGAACCTGTGTCACAAAAGGTCATAAGCTGAATAGAATAGCACCTGCATCAGGAAAGACGGGTTCAGCACCAAGCAACTCCTGCGATGGCATGTGGATGGCATTCGGAGTCAGTAGAACAACAAAAGAGTGAATCCTTAACGCAGACGTTCCATGTATGATCGGTATATATATATATATGCCTACATTGACCCACCAAACCACCCCAATGTTGGCATATATATGACGGTCCCATCTGGGTAAAACAAGAGGTCACCTTCAAAGTTTAGGACCCTCAAGTCAAAGTTGTGACACGGCCACATTTCTCCAGGCAACATGCGACATATTTTCACAAGTAGATGGACTGGACAGCGGTTTTGGCCCCTGTTAGGGGGAGTGGCGTTTTGCTGCACTGGTGCAGGATGGTGAAGCACCTCAATTGTACGTCTGGTCCCTGTCAGCAGGATGTGTTTGGTACTATTTATAGGACAAACTCATCTTCTGAGCTTCTCCCAACTCATCTGGCAGGAGATGTCCGTGCTGTGCGGTACTTACTGCTTTCGGGCTTCGATCCTCGGGAGACGAATCGAATGGGCCTCCTGGATGGAGAAGGTGAAGACGGTTTCGGGATGTAGAGGGATTGTGTAGACGATCGTGTGTGTGTGTGTTGTTTTTAATTGCATGCTTGTGACCAAACATTGAATATGAGTGGGCTTGGTGGGTTTTGTTTATAAGGAAGACAGCGTTTTATGTTTCTGCTGAACGAGTGTTTCTTTGTTCACATGGAGCAGAGATGGGGCAGGGGCCTAGCCGTAGTGAATTTCGGATTCAGAAAATGATCAGTTGCTGATTGTGTGGTTGGGTTTTTCTATACTTGCTGAGAAGGTGTTCAGGGTTTGGGGTCTACAATACATGCACCTCCTTAGAATGTAGTTGGAGCTGTGGGGATACTTCAGAAGGAAGGGAGTTACACTACCCTGTGGATCCAGTTACCACTGCAGTGAGTAACCAGTGTTTCCAAAGACTTAAAACTGTAGAAATGCTGGTTCCTTGTATAGTGGTAGCTGGGACCACACTGGTATGTTTCTTGGGCGATCAAATTCAGTCATAGACATGGCAGTCTAGGATCACCATTCCCCTGGCAGCCTGAGCATGGTCAGATTTTACAGTGAAAAACATGGATTCCCTAATATATAGCTGTTTTCTTTGTTTATAGGGCCCTTTTGACCACGGTAGAGTTGCCTATCCCAGACCATCCATCTATGTCTGGCATATCGACCTACATTGCATCGGCGTTGCTAGGGCGATGTCATCCGTGGTTGGACGTTGTTCGGGGTGGCGATTTTTCCGCGTGGCACCCCGGAGAGGGAGATCGCCAGAAACGGTGATTTGGCGCCAAGTGATGATGGAGACACTTCGTTGGTTCCCTTGGTCTTCAGTTTGCCCCACGAAATGGGCACCCGATCAGACGAGGGACGTGCCACAGAAAAATACACAGCTACTTCACGCTGGGGAAATGGGCACAGCATGGCACAGCCTGGAGTGAAAAGGATTAGGTACTAATGAAGTGCCTGGACCTTGCAAGGGGTGCCCAATGAAGGCCTTTATCAGTGAAGGGCCGGGGCTTCCATTGATTGACCACTTTTCAGAGCCTTCGAAACTGGCGACATGACTAAGCTTACTTCATGATCTCCAAGACAGGTTGAACAGCCCTATAGCCCATCGTACCACCACAGGGTCCTAGTCAGGGTTTGGTCTCTCAACCTCTCTTGGTCTGACGGGGCGAGTTCGCCGGCGGCCGCCCGGGGCGTCGATGCAGGTGAAACGGTGCTTCAAGTGGCGGAAGCAGCCAACCTCTCGGGCTCCAACGATGCGGTGATCCAGCTGCCACCTGGCGATGTGGGGTGAAATAAGTAAGTATAGGGTTCTTGAGCTATTAGCTTGGAGGCCATCGCTAGTAGGTTGGAGGCCATTACTACTATAGCAACAAAAATGCGCTATTCGAAGCTATCATAACTCTGACACCTTTGTCCGCTGAAGGCGGTCGCCAAGGTTGGCGCGCCCCGGCGGTCGAACTGGGTCGTAGTGCGAGTGCAAGATCCAACGATCCAACGATACACAAGTATCACCGAAAAGGCAAGACAACACTACACCCTGTGGCTGCATAAATGAAGTATTCAACAATACCTGCATCATCCGTTCTGGGTTAGCAGTCTAGACTACCCTGCACATATGGACCTCCAGACAGGACACCCATGTTCAATCAAAGACCTCGGAACAGAAACGGCTCCGACTGGACCTCACTCGAGAGACGGTGTCTTCAAACGCATTTCTCCGGAGGCCTGCGCACGTTTTGAGCCTCCAACGAAGCTGTGTGAACCACGTAAAGGGTGTTCAAAAGAAAGACAGGGCACGTCAACAGGCGACGAGCAGGAACAAAAACGATCAGGTCCAGGACCAATTCGTGTTGGTCCACCAGGAAGGTGAACCGTGCAGAAGAAAGAATGGTCCACCTCGCATGGAATTTTTGCTATAGAACCTACCTCACCATTAGACAGAACTTGCTTTATCACCGTGCTGCAGACCCAGAACGTACGTTATAATATATATTTATGCAACAAAAGACCGCAAACAGTGACAGCGACTAAGAGGAAAAGCCCACCAGCAGAAAGGCAGGTGGCATCAGACACGTGTTCAGTGTTTCCCTGCCATCTCAACTTGTACGAATTGGTGGCACAGAAATCTCAAGCGAAACTTGAGATCGGACCGTGGATTTGATTAGGTGAATGCTTGGAAGACCCACCGGAGGAGACTTCACGAACAGACGAGAGCCACCGGCTGAGACCCTCACCCTCATGGTCCAGGCAGAAGAAATCGTGGAGCGAAGCACACACTATATCACTTAATTTTGGGTGCTGCCCTGGTTCATTCATGGGAAATTCATTCGCATAGTTTCACATTGGAATGACTATAGTATCGACTGAGTGTGTTGGTTCTGTAATGATCTGTGTAGGTTTGGTAGGCGACCGGCTGAAACACCCAGCATAGGCATTACTCCCGACTCACGGTCAGTGCAAAGAGCCCCGGTTCGAGGAACATCGTCCGGTTCAGGTCCTTCCCTGTTAGTGAGTCAGAGACTTTCTTAGAAAAACTGGTCTCAGGATGTCTCAAAGGTCATGCTTCATCCTGCTCCAGTCGTACTGTCGTTTCGGTGACGGGAGTCCGGGTGCGAGGATGTGCCATATATCCATCGGCCGGTGTTTTCTGGCTTCCGAGTTGTCCTGGATCGGTCCCAAGGCTGAAATCCCTGCCTATGCCTCTGGAACTTTTACGAGAACAACTTTGAAATCCCACCGACCACTGTGCTCGGCGGTGGGTTCAGACCACATCGGCTGTGGAATGAGTGAGCCAGAGCCCAAGCGTTTGGGCTCCTGAGTCCTCTCTTCGATCTGAAGGATGTCTCCAAGGGGCCACAGTCTGTCTCCAAAGAGACACAACGTGCATTTTTGAAAGATTGACTTGCTCGAGGTCACCTGAGACTGGAAAGAAGTGACCGAAGTTAGCTTCGATCGTGTCTCGTGTTGGAAGTCATGTCTCAACATCTCGACATCGTTTTTGGGGATTCCCCCAAAAGGGGCGGGGTTCAAAAGGGGCGGGGTTCTTCGTTCGCTTCCTGCGCCGACCTTGCCCTACGGGTCGGGAAACTCCTTTTTACTGGACTGGTTTCACTCGGACCAGGACCAGGTTGGATCAGAGCTGGCTGAAGCCGGACCGTTGGTCGACCCAAGCAACCATTCCCACGACGTGGGACAGACCTGGATCTTCTGACATGCCTGGCATGTCTACACCAACTTTGCTGTTTTTTTGTTTTTATTATGGATGAAAAGGCAAAACACATATTGTCGCAGTTCGAAGATGCAGGTATGTGGTATGTTCATGTTGTTTGATGATGTTTGATGTTCTCGTATTGTCCTGAGCATATCTGAACATGGTTGTGATACATCATGAAGGATACTTGATACATGTATGTTATCAGAATACGAAAGAACCTTTGAAGATCTTTGAAGTACTGAATCACCAAAATTTCTAGCACTCAATCCCCAACGGCGGGGATGCGAGTGTTCCGGTTGACAAGCTTCACGCGACTCTGAGCTCATATGGACTCATATTGTATGATATTGTATGTATACTGTATACCCTGAACATTCATTCGTAGCACTTTTTTTTGGCGAACCTAGGAAATGACCACTTTTTGGAGTTTTGGAGCGTTTTTTGATGAAACGAGCACTTTTTAGTGTTTTTCATAAATCGAGCGCTTTTTGAGGCCCTGGAGATTTGAAGTTGTTCTTGATCTGTTTGCATCCCTCTGATGACTTTCTTTTTCTACAGGCCCTTAACCAAATCCTTTAGGAACCCAGGTGGTCCGCACGTTGCCCTGTGCATAGTGGTGCGCGGGCCCCGCGCGTCTTTGGCTTCATTGGCCGCCTTAGAGGCGGCGGGATGTGGTGGATAGAGGTGGTGGAAAGCCAAAACAAAGTGTTTAGCAGGATCTGGTGTCCTGAGTGATGTCTTAAATTAAGTGCTCAATATCAAAGACCCAGAAGGAATTCACGTCATCTTTAGATGGCCATGGCACGCTCTTCAGCTACGTGCAGCCAAGTTTGACTAGAGGTACGCCCCGTCTTGTTTGCGGTGGGACTGGGACTGTTTTGTGGTGAGGTAGTGCAACCTTTTGTCGCTCTTTGTGTGCGCATGGCTCTTCCTCAGCCCCACTGAGCTCGAGTTCATGGACGCATGCATGCATACATGCACATAATATTAATTTCAATGATGCACGCCTGCATTTGCCTTCGTGTCGATTTGTTCTTTCTAGCCATACTCGTAGCTATGCCCGTTGATGTGGCGCCAGTGGTCCAAGCCTGGATGGAATGTCCTACCATCATCCAGCGCGCAGCTGTCCAAAAGCTCATGAGTTTTGAGCTGGGCCCTACTCCGGAAGCAGCTGAATCGCATGCTTTGGTGTTGGCACCCGTTATGAAACATCTTGGTACTTTGGATGCAAAATGATCATGATCCTATATATGCATGCACTACCTCTCGACAATTCCATGTGTCCATGTGTATGCACCGTGCAATACATACGTGCAGGCCTCAAGCCCTCGATCGACGTGACCAGAGACTGCGTGAATCGGCTCTTCACGGCGTGCAAACCATTCGGCAAGAAGGATGCAAGCAGTCCCTTTGTCGGACCTACTAAGTGATATGCTTTTACCTGCCTGGGAGACACCAAAACTGTTCATTGCTGAGTTATATAGGTATGGACCCATGTGCATCTGAGGTTCCACAGTCAAGAAGACTGCCTGGTACATCCGGAAGTTGGTCACCGCATGGAGACGTTTCGCTTCCCGGGGGCATGTTCCACGATCTCGAGGTCATAGAATGCTCTTTGAAGCTGCAGAAATTCCATGGCCGGAACGACTTTTGCCTTCATTTTCTGTTTCCTTGTAAAGATGGAAATATGGAAGAATTGCTGGCCCCGAACCTGTTCATCTTTGCCCTCTGCATTAGAGGTCTAGATTGGGGCCAGCATTTCTTGCCTAACAAAGCGGAACATTTGCATTCAATTGGTGCTTTCTGATCACCTTCTGAATCTGATCTCAGGATCTGATTCCGGTTCCTTCACCAACACCGGTTGCGCCGAGACGGATCTTGAGGACTTTGAAGAGTTTGGCGAAACTGGGGAGGAAGAACCCTTGGAAGATGATGAAGTGGTGGAGGCCCAACTTTAATAGAATGGTCCACGTATGTTTGTGCACTAACCTGAAAAAAAAACTCTTTTTTCACACATGTCCCACCCACTACAGGCTCCACAAGCTTCCAATCCTAGACGCGAAGTTCCCGAACCATTGCAACATGAGATTGCTGGACGTGGACCGGGCCAGGTTCTTAGCTGACACCAAGATTTGAGGGGTCCATAGGTTGCATGACTGCGTGGTGATTTTTTGTGTCTATGTTTCCAACACCCCGCGCTTTTGCGCAGCCATCCTTTCTAATCGCTGCCTGAGGTACCCAACCACCGCAGTCGGAGTTGCAAACGCCTCCGCCAAAGAGCCGCTGGGCAAGACATTTAAGCATGTTGCCTCTTTAACTTTATTCGATCGTCCTATGATGGAATATCACTATGACATGGACTGGCCAAAGATCTATGGGTTGATTGGATATTGGACCCAAAGCCACAAGTGGGGATCCCGTCTTCAAACTCTCATCACCCTTGGCATTTCGAGGTTGCATGCTGGACCGGCATACCTCTGGCGAGAAGCTACCCACGAGCCACCAGAACGAGGCTGAGAAGCTGGAGGTCTTGCGGGCGCTAGAGAAGGAACTTGCAGTCTTAAACGCCCTGGTGGAACAAAAGAAAACTTTGCTACATGTTGAGAAGAAAACGATTGAGATCAACCAGAGTGGCAGTAGCACGCTGGCATTTTTCAAGTTTGCATGGGCATGATGTTTCGGGGGTAGGCCTTGTTATGGAAACGATTGCCATACTGCCAGGCTTGAACATCTAAGGCATGGATGTGGTTGACACTTTGCCAATGCCAATGGACTTGATGGACCAGTTTGCTATCATGGCCACAGAGTCCGCTGATGCTTTTGAGCGCAAGTCTCCTCCCACGGTTGAGGCTGTTCCAGAAATCCTCCGAGCCAAGACCCTTGTTCTGGGGGAGCTTGATCCAGATGCCCAAACAAAACTACCGGAAACAAGTCCAGTCAGGGGTGGTAGTGAGGAACCTTCCAAAGAGCCATCAAATCCCAACCTGGCTGATTGTGAGGAACCTTCCAAAGAGCCATCAAATCCCACCCTGGCTGATCGTGAGGAACCTTCCAAAGAGCCATCAAGTCCCATTAGTGGCGATGGTCAGGAACCTTCCAAAGAGCTACCAAGTCCAGCCAGGGGTGATGGTGAGGAACCTTCCAAAGGCACACCAAGTCGCACCAGACAAAATGGTGAGGAACCTTCCAAAAACCAATCACGCTCCTCCAAGAGTGATGGTGCGGAACCTTTCAAGGAGCCATCAAGTCCAACCAAAGGTGATGGTGAGGAACCTTCCAAAGAGCCGTCAAGTCCCATTAGGGTTGAGGGTGAGGAGCCTTCCAAAGAGCCATCACGAGCCACCGATTTGTCGGAGCCTGTCTTGGAGCAGCAGCCGCCCAAGTGTGATGCTCCTGCACGTGGCATTTCGGAAGAGGTTGGGTTTTTGGAAAGTGTATCGTCATTTTTACATCATATAAATTATGCATTTTCCATCGTCGCGAACATACCCCCACGCAGGTTGACGCGAAGGAGGTTATGGCAAGGACAAAGCATATTAGCCCACCTACACAGACCAAACTAACACGGGGGAGGCAGAACGTTAAAGGGAATGAAGGTGAAGGGGATGAGGAAGAGCCAGGTTCAGGGGAAGAGGAGGAAGAGGAGGAAGAAGAAGAGCCAAAGGAAAGGAAGAGGACTGGTAGGAAGGAAGCAGCGGGAAAAGGGCAGGATGAGGGAAAGGCTGGACAGGCGAGGAAACCTCGGGGAAAGGCAGCAGCAAAGCCAAAGGCAAAGGGAAAGGAGAGGAATTCTCGGAAGGTCAAGGATGGGCGAAAGGATGAGAGGGCGGAAGAGGTAAAGGAGACGGAAGCAATGGGAAAGCGCCAAAGGAAGAAGGATAAGGAGCAGCTACAGGCAGAGGCAGAACAACCAGTGGAGAAGCCGAAGGATAAGGCCAAAGGAAGGAAGGATAAGGAGCAGCCACAGGAAGAGTTGGGCACGGGTGGCAAAAGTTTGGAGGGGGAGGAGGAGAAGGATGAAAAAGGACAGGGCAACCAGAGAAAGGCAGATGCAGGAGAGGAGGCGAACGGCAGGCCCGAGGCAAAGGCAAAGGCACAAGGTCGAAAAAAGAAGGTTTATGAGACACGAGAAGAAGCAGAAAGGGCCGCTAAGCGTAGCCGCCAGAGTTCTGCGTACAGTGTGGAATACAGGAAGGCTTTGCCAATCCATGGGGAGGAGGAAGCAAGAAAGAGGGCGCGCAAGGATCCTAGGCGTAGCTTATTATGTTTTATTCTGTTTTAGTGCATGTGGAGGTTTAAAAAATAGGTAGTGCGGTAGCTTTCAATAATGTGGAAGCTGTACATCTTAGGCATACGCCTGGACGAAATGATGAGCGAGGGGCTTTTCTGGGAATGCTGGCACTGACCGTGCCCAGCTGCTGCAGCTTTCTTCAAAGCTGCACGGGGGTTTTTCTTGCGAAGCAAGCTTCATCTATATATCTTCTGGGCTGGGTGGTCACACAAGCGTGATCAAACGATCCTAGCTCGCAATACTCCAGGGCAGGGTTGTTTTGGAAAAATGCTCATTGCGACCTCAGCCTGCTACTTGGGCAGCTCCCCGATTGCCAGGTGTGCGCGCATGCCGGCTTGCGAGTATGAATCTGACGGAGAAGGCCTGCGTGAGTAGCGTTGGCCGTTTCCAACCGCTCTAGATTGAGGTGTCCGGAAAGGAGCTGAAAAGAACCCCAAAAAACTCATTTCCGGACACCTTGAGCAGCCGCGCTGCGTTGTCAGCTGTTAGCGCGTGAACTTCCCACACCGCCCGTTCCTTGCTGCAGATCAGTTGGCCTTTTTTGAAATTTACCGGTGGTCGATCGCAGCCATGGAAAGCTCGATCTTGGTTCGTTTACTTCAAGTCCAAGCCCCGAAGGCCAGATTTTAATTTAGGGACACCTTCAGTTCTTGGGCCCTGGTTTGCTGATCTTAGGTTTGGATCGCCACCGCCTGGGCCTAGAGCTCGCTTTTCAATCAAAGTTGCCGCTCAAATCTCGGATCTATTGGCACAGGTCCTCCTCCTGCTTTGGCAGTCGAACCTGGTATTCACGGAGGGAGGGAACATCGATTTCATCGAGATTTTCAGTGGACAGGCTAAGGTGACACAATATTGGCACCCAGGCAAGTAATAGCAAATGATATGTGATGTGCGTACGGTGCAAGGTGCTGAGTTCACGTGGGGGTTGTATGGCTTTTGTTTGAGGTCTGAGCAGGGTTACAGGTGCTGCAAGGTCGACTTAGATTACGATGAATGTATGGACTTCAATGCTTGCGGCGGCTTTCTGCCACCTGGCCTGACCCCTGTAATTGTGTGCCACTATTTCATTTTAGGGCGCGGGCGTGCTGAGGCTTTGTGCCCACTTGATCTTGAATCAAGTGCCTGACAGGTGCAACCTTCTAGCACCCGTTTGTGGTAGTTGGAGCGCAGTGAGCAGAGGAAGCACATTGCGGTCCTATATCAACCCAATGGGCCGGCACTGCCCAAGTGTAGATTCTGGAAACCGAATGGTATCAAGGCAGTGGGGCTTGAGGAAGGTTTACTGGAAAGAGTCTACACCTTTTCCTGCGTGTAGCTGACATTTGGGGGAAGTGTGCTCAGGTGTGTGCTACTCATTTTGCTCATGATGAGCAAAAACTTAAGGTGGTTGCTTGAGCAACCGCACCAGAGCTTGCTCCCGCGACACAAGAGAATGGAATGGTTATTGAACCGGGTAGTGTTTGTGTCTGGGCTGCTTGAAACGGCGCTTGCTGCTCTTGCTCGTGCAGGACGTAGGAAACAAACCACGGCCCAGGTACACATCGTCTACTTCTGGATGATGCACTACAACAAAAAAAGCCCCAAGCGTTCCATGATGCTTAGCAATATGTCCTCCATTTCTATGCTGGACTTGGGGGTACTGACCAAAAAACAACGTGACATTCCAGATCGACTTGAAACAACGTGCATCTTGGTTGGTAAACCATGTAGTCATCCTTCTGTTTGGGGGCAGGCATGCATTAGGACAGCGCATGTTAGCTGAGGCAAATATTTGGATAAGGATGGCATCTTAAGATATCAGGGAAACAAGCAATTGAAGTCGACCCAGTCTTGGCCTCAAGCAAAACAGGCTCGCAGAAAGCCGCCGCCAGCCCTCCCTCCCTCCCAGGTTCTACAGCCGTGAATTTGGCAAAAAGCTCCTCGAAGTGTACCAGGCCGCACAAGCTGATAGCTCCAGATTGGACCTGCGCACCCGGCCAGAGATAGATTCTCGGAAGACGGACCGCGAGCTATTCGAGAACTTGCCGTTGGGAGATATTTGGTACGAGTCTGATTGCCACAAAGCCTTTGAATACTTGTACAACTCCAAATATTTGAGGTGTGGGGTGGTGTGTTTGCAGTGGTAGGGATTGGAAAGGATCGATTTGTTTATGTGCTTCGCGGGTCTCCCTGTAGGATCCCTACATCTTGGGCTCCCACTATCCAATCTTTCCGAACTGACCTCTTGGAAGAGGTGGGAAAATAATCGCCCCCGAAACGGAGCCCTAACCACGCACCCGGTCCCAGGTGAAGCGGATTGAATCAAACCCTGATGGCCGAGATTGCATCTAGAGCAATTTGATCTTTGGGCTTGGCACGTGTATAGTCACGTCCCGGGTGCTTCTGGCATTCTTCAATGCCCTGTTGACATCTAATTTGGTCCTCAGTGGAAGGTGCGGGTTTCTTGAGACCCATGAAAACAGCACATAAGGTTAAGGTATCGGTTTTTGCCAAACTGGACACCCGCAAAACGAGCGCAATTTGCCGCAAAACGAGCGCAATTTGCCGCTAAACGAGCGCAATTTAAAAAGTGGCGAGCCACTCCAACCAACAACCTTTTTTGTTCAGCAGCCAATGTTTGGATACCTTTGTTTTCCGGTTCAGCTCCCAGAGACAATGCACCTTCCGGTGTGGTCAGTTGCAGCCATAGCCACATACTCTGTGTGGCCGGGTCGGAACAAAAAGGTTTTCCACTACTAAAGTTGTGCATTCGTGCGTGGACAAGCACAATCTAATGACAACATTATACCTTTGGCTCACAGAGGTCCAGCATGTCAAGGGAAACAGTGCTTTACGGTGGCCATTCTTGTGCGACCCTTGCACGGGGAATTGCAATGGCCAACCATGGGGAGCACGGTGATCCGACAAATGCCCTTCAGGCTCAAATCGAGGCTCGCTTGGCTGCCTGCCTTTTCATTGTCTCGCCGACAGGAGTTGCAACTTCACAACTGAGGCGTCTATGGCAAAGATAGCCGCGCAGCAGAAACGTCTGGCTGAGCTGAGCCAAGATGTTCCTATCCACCTGCCTGAAAAGCACCCAGCAGGCCCAATTTGGTTTTCCCTGTTTTGTGTTATAGCGCAGCGTGTGGATGCCCGCAGGTGCGCCTTATGTTGCGAGGTCAGACGGAGCATTTCTGGCTGGCACTGCTCAGACCACATTGGAACAGACCCTGCCGAACAGCCTCCAAACAATCCCTGGCCCATCTAACTTGGGAAAGCAAACCACTATCGATCTCGAAAGTATTGTGTCTACACCGCCACCTCCGGCAGGGGAGCGTAAGACCGACTATCCTGACATGCACGAGGGTTTCAACTCCGGGTTTCCAACTGGCACCCCGACGCCCAAAGGTAAAGCTCCCGGCTCCCCTGCTCCCAGCATTGCCCAAACCTTTGTTGCAGAGCCTTTTGGTGACCAGCGTGGAGAAAAAGAGGAGAAATCAGGATCATATTGGAAGCCGCTCTCTTGCATTTCTTGAGGAGCCATGGACCCTTACAGTTGGAAAGGAAACGGAATAAGGTGAAGGCAAGGTTGAAGGGTCCTTATCGCTGCGCAGCCTGCCTAGGCTGTACCGGTACTGCCAATTGACCAATTCCAAGGGCGAACAGAAATGTTCCAATGAGGTCCTCCAGATGTATAAGACTGACACGGGTCGCGCCTTGCCTGCCATTTTCTTGCTAGATGTACGCCCTGTAGCTGTTTGCTTTTTGGGGGGCCTTCAAGGCAACAAGCTGAAGGAGCTTTTGAGACGCCATCAAGATTTGAAGAAGGTTGATGCTGTGATTCAGAGATGGCACGTCCGGAAAGCCAGATTCGACAAAAAGGGGGGCTGGTACACGCGGCCTTGGCTGATGAATGAAAGGCACTGGACTAAGACGCTAGGTGTGATAAGTATTTAACATGCGAAGTCCGGATGCAAAATCCCTCGTGCTGGAAACGTCTATAGTGCTAATTGTTTGTGTTGGAGCCCTGTTCAACTTAGGAAGATGACAGACTGTGCTTTCGAGTGGGCGGAAAAACATAACCGCAAGAGGAAAAACCCGGTACACCAAGAGGAAGAAATTGGCATAGTGTTGGACGACGAGTTCATGTTCCGGACAGAATCGGGAGAGAGCATGTCACAACAGACGACCTTTGGCGTGGAGGACCCCTGATCTTTTGTGGGGTGCCTGTGGGGCATGTTAGCAGCCACCACGACCGCACGTTGATTAACTTTTGGACGTGTTCTTTTCTTTCTGAGTGGGGCGCAGGATGAGGACATGGCTTTGTTGGACAACGACTTCTTGCCGTCCTCTACTGCTGGCCAAGATGCCCTGACGGGCTTTGCGATGGAGCAAGCCGGAATGCACTTGGAAGAAGGGCATGAGAGCCTCCGAGCTGATTCTTCCAGCTTTAAGTTCCTTGGTTGAAAGATCAACGCACAGGCCTTGTTTGGAAGATCAACCCAAAGGCCCAACTCAGCCAATCCAACACGAGCCAACAGACCCTGCAATGGATTTTTGAGGGGTGCCCTTTTTTTGCTTTAAACGCATACAAAAACGCTTGAAAAAGGGCACCCCCAAATTTACCTTTGCTGGCCTTACTTGGATCCTCACATCAACCCCCGCAGGTAGATTCAGGACACCTCAATCTTTTCAATTGCTTTCTTGGCTGAGGCTTTGCTACCCCAGCATCAAGCAGAATTCCTCGTACAAGACTTTGCTCCCGGCATTTGTTGAAGTTTGCAGCCGCAAGCTTGACAATACAGCCAAGGTTCAGGAGTTTTGATTGCTGGCTTGTTTGTGCAAGAATTCACCGGCATGACCTGCAAAGTCTATACGTGGGCACGTTGTGCATATACGCACGTTTGTTTTGGAGGAGACCTTGAACAGCATCAACACAGACCGCGCAAAGGAGCCCCTTACCTGTCACTTCATTCCAAGCAACCGTCTTTCAGCGGAATGCCAATTCTGTTGAGGCAACAAACTTTCCACCCCACACCGGTTTAATCTCCTGAGGTTGCATGGCCACCTGGACTCTGTAACCAAGCAGCTGAAGGTGCACCACCAAAAGATGATGGATATTCAGGGAGACATGTTGCTTGATGCCAAAAGGCGAGGTTTGTAAGATGTAGCGATGTTATTTTTGTTTTCCTGCGCGCACATTGCCCCAATCCGTGCCTTGGAGGGACTTTGAGGGCGATCTACAGGACCTGTTCTCTCAAATCACGAGATTGGATGTGACATTGAACAACTATATTTGCCGCAGTAAGTTTGGACCTGAGCTTGCAAGTGCTTTCACCATACACCTTCACAGGCGTAAGTGGTCGCAATACTTGTGCGACATGTATGTTTTCAGGCAGATCAAGAAGCCCAAGAATGTTCCTGATAACGGTGGGAAAGGTTCCAATCGCCGTTCACCTGCGGGTAAAGCGAAGGCGAAGGCCAAGGGAAAGGCCAAATCAAGCGCCAAAAAGAAAAGTCCTGAGAATAAGGAGGACAAGTAGTTGACTCGCTGGCCTGCAGTTTGTCGGGGTTGGGCCACGCAAGGCGTAGACTGAAGTTTTGGGGAACCCTGCATCACCACTCTTGTGACTTCTTTTCATTCCTTCAGCCGCCATGTGTGCAAAGACCTCGGGTTTTGGGATGCTGCGTGTACACCCAGCACATGAGGGCTGAGTGAAAATCGAGAGCGCTTTGCGGGTTTGCCGCTACTGTCTAGTTGTGCTGGTGTGGTTCAAAGGGGTGTAAGTAAAAGAAGAAGACACAGAACCAGATCGGCTTACATACTTGTGTGGGCTGACATTGTTTTTGGCAGGTGAGAGCCTGGCTGGTGCTTCAGACAGCCCCATGGATGCAGTTAGTCGATATCCGTGTTCCAAGAAGTGTAAAAAACAATTTTTGGAGGTGGCCTTATATAGCTGTTTCAAAGGGCTTTGCGGGCTAGAAAGGCCACCTTCCACATTTACCTATTATAGGGTCTGTGGGCTCGTGGTGGTTAGACGATGTAGTCAATGTGTCATGTATAACGCATGATGCGTGTATGCAGTGCGCCAAACTGGCCACGTGTCCGCCCCCATCGCCTGAAGGCTCGGACGATCTTGCTGGCGAGCTTCTTCAAGGTGTGGAACAAGGGAGCATTCCTGCGCGCCGTGCTACGAAGATGGCTGGTATGATCTCTCGCAAGTTCAAAAAGCATGGACTTTTTATCCTGTTTGAGTATACGTTTTCATCTGCCCCAATGCCCAACCTATGTTCTCATAGATATGGATCTTATATATAATCTTATATATATTTTCTTTGGATGTGCCGCTCTAGTACCGCTCTAGGAATTGTGGATTCCAACCTGTCCCTTCTGGGAGTTCAGAGGGGCGTCAAAGGAGAGAATCATTGCCGTCGGCTTCACGCGTTTGCTCGGAAGACGGAATGCCTCTTGAGCGTTCGCGTCCAGAAAGTACAAACCATCGTGCGACAAATTGAGAAGTCGAAAGTTCATGAAGTTGAAATTGATTACCCAGTCCTGCCTCTTTCTTCGTGGATGGAGACGTCCTTCAACCTTGGTGGTCATTTTTTCTTGGAGGGAAAGGTTTGAGCAGTTTCAGCCAGTTCTCCAAGATTTTGTGCGACTTTTGGAGGCGGTATAGACCGTTGGACCCGGACCTGCCATTCTTCGAAGACGTTGGGGAGCCATACTACCATTGCAGTTTTCCTGTGGCAGTTCATGGCGATGAGGGGCGCGGCCGCTATAAGCGGCCGATCCTCGTACTAAGTTTCCAACCGGTTCTGAGCAATATGAAGGATGAGGTCAACCTCAAGGGGTCTGGGTTGCGAAACTCTCTTGGCTGGTGTTTTTTATTGCCCCTATTACCTTCGCCCCAAACATACGTGTCTTGCAACCCTGCAGGCTGACGTACAACACACGGCTTTTGTATGCAGTGATCCCTTCGAGCATGTACGCAAAGAAAGACAAGACCATAGATGCACTCATCAAAGCAATGGTTGATGATCTCAACAAACTGTACCACGAAGGGTTTGAAGTCTCTTAGCTTACAATCCTGGGCATAAAACATATGTCTTCTTTCTGCCTAAGGGTCACTGTTTTTCCAAAATGCCTTGTACTGAGGCATCGTTTTGGGACCATTATGTGGGCACCCTTTTCAACATTAAGAGGCCTAGTTCAATTTTACATTGAAAAAAGGGGCACCCACGTAATGGTCCCAAAACGGATGCCCAAAACGTAGTGTGGGTTAAGGGCTTTCTAAATCTAGAAAAAAGCGCGTTGAATGGTCACGTCGGCAACGTGGCCCAGGTCAGAATGGAGGGGGCGTCCGTGAGAATGCGTCCAGTGTGGATCGGAACCAAAGGAGATTGGCCTTGGATGAGAAAGCTATACAAACTCAAGTCTGGCTTTCAGGCACAATGCCACAGGAAATGCCACTTGTGTGATGGCGCAGAAGCTTGCCACCCCAAAAAAATAGTAAGCCCAAAAGGCTTTCATCATTTTGACCCTGGATGCCATTGCACCAGCCTTTGGATCCGAGGATTGGTGGGACATGGCGCCATCCAGCCACTTGCGGAATCTGCCTTTGGGGTACCACAACCCGTCCCCCTATTGGCCAAATTTCCGTTCTCCTATGTTTGATCTTCCTGGAGGACAAGATGCCTTCCGTATCCGCACGGATCCCACCCATACATACCATATAGGATATGGGAAAGATGAAAACGCAAGCATCCTAGTCCTTTTGGCACAGCTGGGCCATTTTGGTGGGAAGGGATCTCTGGATGCCAAGCTCGAAAGGGCCTTTGAACGCTTTGCCATCTACTGCAAGTCCACCCGGAAGCACACGAGCATCACCTTTTTCAGCAAAAAGCAGTTCAAGATACAACAGACCCTTAGCCATCATATGTTGCTGTTTTTGCAGGGGCTCATCCAAAGTTGAAAACCCTGAGCTCGCGCGGTTCCCCCCTCCACCACCACCTAGGAAGGGGAGCTTCCCTTGCGGAGGTGGCAAGGGCCATGACACCGCAGTCCTGGGGGCCTGGCTTGAGACAGAGCTCACCTCAGTGTCTGCGGATTCTTTTGTCCCACGGTTGCATCATATGCCCGTGTGCTGTGTGAAGGTTTGTGCAGACTCATTTGGACGCTCAAGATGCCCTGCTTCCTAAGGAAAGCCCATGGAGAGAAATTGTACAAGTCATGAAGTACATGAACCGTGCGAGTTGCTTCTTCTGGAGGCTACTTTACACAAGTGGCATGTTTCTTTCCAAAGAGTCTGCGCAATCTGCCATCACGGCTGGCTGGGACATGGTAGAAACTTGTCTCTGTCAGTAGCTTGGGGCTGGTGGTCAGCCAAATTGAACATCATTTGCACTTGCGCTTAAGGAAGGGTATGCTGTTTGCAGCTCGTTGACGGCGGCGCAAGGCCTGCGTTTATTTAAGTGCAGGCCAAAACTACACATGATGGGACACATCACGCCCCTTAGCTATAATATACAGTATACGTCATGGACAACTGTTAACGAACGGGAAAATATCCAAGGCTGATCCTCCAACATGAGCTGCTGCGAGGCGCTGAACCCATGAATCCGGCGTGCTGGATGTGCTGGGGGGATGAAGATTTCATAGGACGGATATCTAGAACCAGCAGACACCAGCATAGCAGAACGTCTCCTTTGAGAACATTGCAGGTGTCACTCATGGCCTATAAGAGGCATTGGAACACGTGTTTCACTGACTGAGATCCCGGGCGCTTGCCAGAAGAAAAGCTTGGCAAGGATCTTCACGTTCATGATCCGTAGTGTGGGTGTGTTGTGTGCAACTCGAAGGCACGAGGGGAGATGGACTGGGTTTGGGAGGGCTCTACGAGCGTTTTTTTAGTGTTCGTAGCGTTTTTTGGTGAAACGAGCGTTTTATCATATCGAGCGCTTTTTTCTGTAGCGAAGGAAGGTCCAGGACTATATTATAGTGTTTTATATATGTTTGCCTGGGCGTTGTCCAGGAAGAGTCATGTCTTTGTTGATTCTCTTGGGCACTTACTCTTGCAAGTCTTTCACGATTTCCAGTCCTTGTTGCAGCAGATGCAGCTGAAGACCTCGATGAAATTGGGACAAAGCGTCCTGGAAATTCTCCTGGCTGTTTGTCCATTGAACAGGCCATTGCAGGTGGATCAAATTGCTGGCGACCCGGGGCGCCAAAAAGCTAATATGGTACCGTTTCATGCATTTGTTTCGATGTACAGGTGATCTCATGAACAGAGAAGGTCAGACATAGCCCTTTGATTTGCGTTGAATGAAAAGACATGGAAAGTCGTCAGGTCCGAGCTGTCCGAACCAGTCGGAATCTGCTTGGGTCGGGTGTCGACGCAGGAAAGGATGGGTCTTCCGCCACACGCCGACCGTACGTCCAGTCCTTCGGCTGCCCCTGCGGTGTTCGCCGCCTAGCCAAGCCGTCCGATGCAATGGTTGGGGCGGTCAGCCCCAAAGAGTCCAACTCCTCCTCCTTCGATGGTCCGTTCCGGAGGTAAGCTGAAGCCGAGTTTGGTCGATGAGACAGAGCGAAAGAGAGCTGGACATCCGAGTTTTTTGGGATGGTCCAAGTTGTCCTTAGGGTAAAGTATACTGTAATATGTCCAGCAGGTCACAAGGGTCTCATGTCACATGGGTCTCATAATGTCTCATACAAAGACTGCACCCAATGAGGTCGTGGGGGCAAGGTTTTAATTTGTCCTTGGACAAGGGGAACTCATGGGACGCATGGGAACTCATGGCTTTGAGAGATTTATGGATCGATCGAGACTTCTGCGCATGATGGACGGAAGTTTGAGTAGAAAAAGACTATAAGGTACTGAACCCCGTGGACAAACTGCAGAGAACTTGGTGAAATCACTCAACTAACTTTCCTAAGCACCAAGTTCTTTCCTAAGCACTTGGCTGAACTTTGACCCACGCCTGCAGTGGCAGTTTGCCGGCGCTCCGGGGGTATGTTCGTTTCCACTGACTGAGATCCCAGCGTCGTGGAGAGAGTTCGATTGAGAGGAAGGAGTTGGAGGTCGAGAACTGCCTGGATGTTGAGTCAGTCCATTTATCAAGGTCTACTGTTCTCAGAACTTCCCCTGAATTCCTGGTTCAACTTTTGGCAGAGGAGACATTGGAAGCAAATAGTTTTGACATAAGTGTGATTATGTTTGTCCATTCCTACCCTGGACACTGTTGAAAGGTCAAAACAAAAAAGAAACATATGGCTAGACTGAGACCCATGCCCTGTTCCAAAAGGCTTTGTTCAGTATCACTCGGCCTGAGGTTCTTTCGGTGAATCCATGTGAATCCCCAAACGATTTGATGTTGGGGACGGACGCCACCGAAATCCCAGTTTCCCAGATAGACTGGCCAAAACAAGATTGATGGAAGAGTCCGGCCTGGAGCGGCATGTCGCAGTCATTCAGACTCCCAGATATGAACGGAACACCTGAACGTCCGATTTGGACGAGGCGCTGAACTCCGGCGATGGCACTGAACTACACACACCAGACATACCCAGACCATCCATGGGACTTAAACAGAGTTATCCACATGGGACTGGTGCCATATGACACAACTGATGTTTGGTTCTTGGGGAGAATTCGGGTGATGTGTTCCTTTTTTTCCTGAGCTGAATGAATCCCCTCCTGGATCTTCCCAGTGACCGGCTCACTTAGGCTTGTAAAAGACGTAAAAGGTCACTTAGGGGACCCAAAAAGGTTCATATAACAGCACCCGACTTCACAGGTCTCCTCTAAGGCTTTTGCTGACCTAAAAGTCGCAGGTGGTGACCTGTTGGAGGGTGCTGGATATTATATACATCATTGAATCATGTTTATTTGTCTCGGTTCCTGATTGAATCCCGGGATGGGACTCCTTTTTGTATTGCCCCAGGCAGGAATCCTGAAACAAGCACCCCAAGCGTAAGTATGACGTCTAAAGGTATCTATAAATATGTTTACAAAGATCGGGTCACACTTGTACTGTACCCCCAAGATGGACTTATTAAGAAGGCTCAAGGGCTCTCACATGTGCGATTCGCTGGGTGTGCTTCTTCATTTTCGCAGCTGGCCTGACTGTTGTGTCTGTTGATGGCCGACAGCTCAGGGGTCATCATGACCTTGGCTTGCGAAAGGTGTTTCCACCAGTTGGTGGGCGAACATCCTTCAGACCTGCCTAGTCACTTGATGGACTTTGGTTGGAATCTTCTTTGAAGATGTACAGTCTTGGTCTTGGGGATCCATGCAGAAAAGCTCAAGAGCTAGACTGATGTCTGTGCACCACTTGGCTACGTCCAGATTCCAAGAGATCCTTTCAGACTCAGCTGATTCTCTACGAAACGATCTTTTCGCTGGATCTTTCCCTCTACGAAACACATTGTTCAACATTCGGTGTCGCAACTGGTGGCAAACCAAAGTAGAATTGCATGGTTCAAAGATGTTCTAAAACCTTGGTGAAGTTTACCACATCTCTTCAACCCGGAGAACCAGTGTGACCCTCCTGTACCGGCATCCAAATACCCTACGCACGGACCCTGGCACCGACTCAGAGGGTAGTGGATCCGGGATATCGCTCTCCTTGCGTGGCTTCACCCAAGACATGTCTCGGACCGGGCCGAAGGTATGGCTTTCGATGCTGAGTCGAACATTTTCAGGTTGTGGGAACATGTGGGAAAACTAGGACTGAGAGACATGGTGGGCCAAGTCGAGTCGCAGTTTGCGACTCGTTTTGGGGCAGAAACTCCTTGACTCTTCCTCAAAACAAGCTTTTAGGTGCCCAGGTACGAAATACGGCGTTTGCTCGGATGCCTCGCGTGTTCCCAGAAAATCCTGAGATGGTAATAAATCTCCGCGATCAAAATGCTTAGAAGTTGCGAGCAACTTGGCATGAGGATTTGCCTCAGACTCACAGACTGCTCCTTCGAGCAGCTGTCAAGGAAAAACAAGAGTGGCGGAGCTGCAGACAAAGGGGCGGGACACGAGTGTTTAACTATAGTTTCTACATGTTTCTACTGAATGACACCAGAATAGGCCTGGGAGTAAGATATATTCGAGGCAGTATTCGAGGCATATCTTGGAGACTGCCCTGCAACAGTAGGACTTCATTTCATATACCAGCAGCACCCAGTTCGAGAGATTTAAAGACCCCTCTGACTATTTACTTTCCAAGGACCACCTAAACTGGATGATGCTGTGTATGTGAACATCACCTATGACATCCTATAGAGTCTATAGGGCCATAGAGGATGGAAACAGCGCGTGATCACATAAAATATGAACATGGATGAACATGGCGAGACATCGTGGTTTCGAGACATATGAGCTACTTAGTACTTCCCAAATAGGAAAGCATCCCATGGGCCTCCAACTCACCAGTTTCGCAGGTGCTGAAACGCGAGGAGAACAAGAGTTGGCGCTGGAACGAGGTGTTCCTGGGCCGAACATCGTCTTGGGGACATCGTTTGCGATCCCCGGCCATGGCGCAACAGCGGAAAGCGGACAGCAGACAGCAACGTCTGCGGGTGGAATCTCTCGGCTACTTCCTATAGGAGTTCTAGAAGGAATTACGGATACTGGATAAGTCTTAAGTCAGTCTTGCGTACCAGTCATGGAACCGCGACCAGGACGACGGACTGGTTTGGAGGTCCGTGAAGGTGTTTCTGGAAAAGGGCTTGCTTAGGACGAAGCTGTTGCTGATCTGTTTCTGGAATGAGGAGGCTGTCATGCATAGGAAAGCCATGAGGTTCCAGGATGGTGCTTGGTTCCAGGATGTTTGCCTGAGTTCAACCCAACAACCTGTCATGTGAATCCCAATTCTAATGTGTGTTATATAACTTTCTCCCTCTTTCTCCCTTTTCCTGGACAGCAGATCCAAGAAACGGATGTCCTGCCCCATCTAGCAGCTAGCACAACCCCTTCTTTCAAAGAGAGGTGTTTGTAAATCGATCGTGAACCAATCCACCGAGGCTGGTGCGCAGCAAGGAAGAGATCTTGCGAAGCTTGTTGGAGCCGGAGCGACCCTCAGGCACGACGACCCACGATGCGAACGGGCCACGCAGGGCGACGCGGGTTCGGGCGTTCGCCAGCGTGGGTGTGGACCCAGCGTGCAGCGGAACGGGGGACTGGCCGGAACGACCCGATCTTCAAGTACCGAAAATAGGACATGACATGACCGTAATGCATACTATATTGATATATCTATTTGATACTTATTATAGCTATATTCAGACACTTTCATGGGTGCTTCCTCGTGGTCCGCATCCGCTGTATTACATCAGGCGTCAAAAATAAAAACTGCACAGGTGGGCCACCCCATGAGCAGAGGCTCCAGTGATTCCGCCCGTCACGTACAGAAGCAAACGGCATGCGATCCACTCACTAAGAGTGGATGCACGGCACCAGCAGTTGTAACCGGTGAAGCATCAAGGTTCAGTTCACTCAGAAAAAAGAGTGCGATCACGGCTGAAAACGAAAAACTGGATCTTCCAACGACATGCCAAATGTCTGCCTATGTCTGCCTAACTTGGCTGATTTGGGATGAAAAGGCAGACATTTGGCATGTCGTTGGAAGATGCAGCTGTCTTTTACTACCGACCACTTGGCCGGCCGGCGCGACATCGCCAGTCCTCGAACTTCGCTCCGCCAGGCCTGCTGGAGGCGTTCCACGCGCCGCCGGAGGCGGCCGTTCCGGCCGTTCCCGCGCCCGTGCCGCGGCCCAAAGCG